CTCTCTCTCTCTCTCTCTCTCTCTCTCTCTCTCTCTCTCTCTCTCTCTCTCTCTCTCTCTCTTGTGCCAAACTTCTCAGCTAACGACGGGGACTCAAGGTCTCATTTAACGATTGTTATCAAATGAAAGCGAAAGGAGAAAAAAAATCCGAAAGCTGGATACAATTATCTCCAGGCCAGAAAATACAGCAATTGAGACACGAGCGCGACGGAGAGGAGAGGACGAGATAAAGCGCGCGCGCAAAGTACTTCGCGCGACTACACACGCACGGATTTCACCCGCGAGTACATTCGGCTGGCTGATGTGTTTTCTACAAATGAGCCGGACTCGCGTAGCGACGAGTCGAGAAAGCTCTGCACCTTAATTGCTTCATTTTCCGCGTCGCGTACTAATCCATCTATATGGATACGCGCGGTTACGCGATCGTACGCGCGAGAGACGCGATTCTGACGGCGTTCGATAAAGAAATTTTGGATGAACAATTGAGTTGTACTGAAAGTACCAATTTTTAAGGCAGTAATAACACTGGCATCTAACTCTGAATATTCTTATTATTTTGATCTTTAAATATGAATTCTTAAACATTCAACATAGATAGAATATGTATAGGACGAATAACTTGTGTTTTTTTTTTTATTATTTCTTTACATGGTTATACGTTGTGTGTGTATGTGTTTCTTATATAGAGTTGTATATTGTTTTTTAAGTGTTTTTTTTATATTGTTTTATATAGTGTTTTATATAGTTTTTCATTAAAAAATGTGTAAGGAATAAATCATGTGATTGGAAAAGTTAACTAACCACAATTTATCCCTTCCAATCGTACAATTTATTCCTTACACATTTTTCTCTCTAATATAAAAAACAACAGAAATATTTTAGAATTTAACGTTAAGTGACTCGCACACACGCACTGTATATTGAATATATAAAGAAAAGTAGCCAAAAGCGACATAGGCCTCCTAAAGCAACATACCTCTATATCTCATATATTAAATGTTGTATTTTATCGAAACTAATATAAACGTAATCCTTTTTATCAGTTAAGTCATAAAAAATTCATACTAGGTATATTTCTTGTTCCTTTATATGCTAAATTAGCAAATATCGTTTTAAAAATTCGCAAATTTTATTTCTATGATTTTTATTGATTTGATTTTTTTTAATAAATTCCAATAAGTATGTCGCTTTTGGCACCTATTTTCTTTAAACTCCATTTTCGTGCGTTTTACAAAAACATTTTTTGTTTTAAATCTAGAAACAATTTCAGTAAAAATGTGATATTATCTGATAGGAGGTACTTCCAACTACATGTATATATATTTGCATTTATATTTTGAGCTTTATATTAAGACATAACGTCCAAAAACAAAGTGGTATGTCGCTTTTGGTGCCTTTACTATACATATACTCTGTACATATACTTTACGTTTTGAAAGTTTAAATACTCACACTTAAAAATTAAAACAATAAGAATGTTAGGTATTTTGTTATTAGTACCCAGGCATTGGTACTTCTACTCCTTATTGCGCACGTCCGTGATTTTCCTGACGGACACGATCGGCTCGCAAATGCGGCAGCGAAACGGCAGACGGAAAAACGCGAAACGAGTCTGAGAAAGAGCTCGTTTGCCCTTTGAGGCAGGCAGTGCTCGCGGCTATTCTTAGGGAACCTTTATCGGTCGCGGTGTCTATTTGTGAAACGCGTTGTATTACTCAAAACATCGGCGAGGAGCACCGCGATGAATCTGCGATCGGCGAAGTGGATGGACTGACCAATTAGTCGGGTATAAATCCTTTTTCCCTGGAATCTTGAGTCACAAACAATTTTCTGATCTTGCACCGGTGACACGAGAATAAACAGCTTGTTATTCGCCAACTCGTCCGATTTTAATTAAATTATACTTCGTTATGATGGAAAAAGAGCTTCAGTAAAAGTATCTTCCTAGATATCCTCTATTAGAATTCTTCTGAGAATAAATTCTCCAACTAGCGTACTTTTCCAAGTGTTTTTCCACATCTGATCCTTCTGTACCGCGTGTTCGTACATCTGACGATCTTGTTTGTTACTTTCCGACTCTCATTGCTTTGTTCACATATATAACAAGGAAATTTAAATATGATTACATATATACAATTATTCTGTTAGTATTTCTTTGATTTATATTGACGTACAATAGGAATCTTATGATATCTAATCATCAGTCAGCAGTTTAGACTAATAATTCTTAATATTAATTAATATTAATATAAGTAATTAATATATATAATTAATAATATATGATTAATATATAATTATATAAATAATTAATGATTTGTTGGTTTACTGTTCGATAAAATTCTAAAACACCAGTTCGTAAGCGATTGTTAACACGAATAATATTTAATTATAAAATTAATTTTAAAAAATTTAATTACACATATACATATACAAAAATATATACTTATATATACAAATTATATATACAACTTATATATACAAATATATACTTATATATACTTAAATATACTTAAAGATTAAATTTAAATTTAATTAAATAAAATCATATACTCTTGAAAAATAATGTGCTTATATTAAGTGCGCAATTAACAGATTAAAGATATGGGTTACGCCGTCTTGGAGGACTTCCTTCGACCACACGAGATTGAGGAATTAAGGTCTTGCGGACAATATTTTACGAAAAATTTACCACCTGAATCGGAACGAGAGATATTCGATACTAAAAATGAACAACAAGTAAGATTACTCTAAATGACTTAGAATGGACGGAAAATGAATATGTTATATGCCATTATCCCTTGAGAAAAAAAAGTAAAAATTCTTTTTCCCGCGATAATAGATATAATGAATAAATTTACAACTACAAGGCACTATATTTGTACATTTTCCGTTAATTCTTAAGTCTTTTACAAATCAAACTTAAAGTCAATAACTAATAAAAATAACAATCGTCTTGTTTAAGGCTGATTATTTTCTGGATAGCGCTAACAAAATAAGCGTATTCTTCGAGGCTGAGGCTCTAGAAAAAGACGGAGCGCTGAGAGTGAATCCAGAAGTATCATTAAACAAAGTCAGTATAAGTAAAAAACGAAGAAACATTTCTTCTAACTGAATGATCAATTTTTGCGCGCGCAATTTTTACAGAATACTTGATAATTATTAAATAGTTATTTAAATAGTTATTAATTATATAATAGAGTTAAATCGTTATTATATTCATAGGTTTGAATAATTATGACCCATTTAATAGATTGTAACACAGTCCTAACAACTATTTAATAATTATCTTATATTTGTCAGGTGGGTCATGCGCTTCACTGGTTGCATCCCTCTTTCAAAAAGTACACTTTCGACGAAAGAGTCAAAGAAGTCGCTTTTCAACTTAATTATAAAGAACCGGCGGTATGTCAGTCAATGTACATTTACAAGAACCCCACGATAGGTTCGGAAGGTAACTAACTCATTTGCATCTTTCATTACACCGGTGACGCAAAATAAGAAGTGCTTAGCTGGATGCATATAGAGACTTGTACCATATAGTGTATATATTTTTTGCGTTTTATACATTTGCAAAACACAAATATAAATATTACCGATTGAAGGACTGTTACATTGTTACAGTAACAACGCATCAAGACGCAACGTATTTGTATACCGAGCCGGCAACACTCTTGGGTTTCTGGATCGCTTTGGATGACGCTACGCAGGAGAATGGATGTCTATGGATCGCACCGGGTTCACACAAGAGTGGAGTGCACAGGCGCTTCATAAGAAACAAAGAATCGTGTTCTAAGCAATTATTAGTTTTCGACAAAGCTGCGCCTCATTATTCGCAGAGCTGCTTCACCCCCGTGCCCGTACGCAAAGGCACCTGCATTCTCCTCCACGGTCAAGTTCTTCATTTCTCTGCTCCAAATAGAAGCAACCTACCGAGACATGCTTACACCTTCCATGTGATCGAAACTCACGATGTGACTTATGCGAAAGACAATTGGCTTCAACCACTCGCTTGTGGTTTTCCAAAGCTCTATCTAAATTAGATACATCGTACTAATTAGGAATCATCGTTCATGGAGTATACACGCATCGTATCGCACACGTACACACAAACGTACATGTATATACGCACTGATGATCTTGCTACGGTTATGCAAAAGAGAATTTATTTTTTCCATAACAGTATGTAAAAAAATAACATTTGACGTACAACTTAGCAACGATCAAAAGAAAATAACAACAGATATATCACAGTTATTTCTGTAACGATGGTATTCTACGTTACTGTCTTATAACCCTAATTTAATTAATATAAGTACATATGCAGTGGGTAAAAGAAAAAAAGTATGCGCATGACCCTCTATCTCTTTCTCTCTCTCTTTTTCCTAGAATTAATTTATATCAAAAGAGAAAAATATTATTGTGCAAAATCTATATCAAAATCTATTATTAATAGTCTTTCTTAATACATCGAATAATACATAGAAATATTCGAACATTTTTCTTTTATATTCTTTTATCAAAAAAAGAGAAAGGATATCATCTTGTATTTTTTTTAATATTTACATATCATGTTTCTTTTATCCACTGCTTTTTTAATATCTATATGTTATTTTTTTAATAACTGTGGTTTTTCAAATATATTATTTTTTTCTTTACCTTTCTCTCTTACATGTGTATAAATTATATTATACGATTAAATTATTCTATTACAAACATTTAAGTATAGTGCGCGATAATGTGTGCCTAACTCTTGTAGTTGTCTCAAACCAACCTTCAATACTTCTTTTTTTAATATGATACAATAAAATATATCCAAAAGTTCTACATTCATTGTTGTTACTTCTATATAAGCAAAGAATGCATTCAAATCTTGCTGCAAAGTACTCAATGTCTGATATTTTATAGAGTTATTTTCAGCTTGTACCAGTAACCTAATTATGAAAAAAAAAATACATATAGTTATTATGTATAACTGTACATATAGAATTATACCAAATCAAGGAATAACTTACTTATTTAGGTTATGTGACAAATCGTTCACTTTCTTGGCAATGTCTGCTTGTAAACGTTTTACAGTTGCATGTGATAATGGTGGATTTATTGGACTATAATTAAGAGGAAAAACTTTTCCTGCGATGCTGGCCGCCAAACCACTGTAAAATACAAATAAAATAATATTCAATTACAAATAAAAAAGCAAGATTATTGTTATTGGTACATATCACATATGCAACTGCTAAAATATTAAAAATTATAAAAAATAATCATATCAAAATGATGTAAGTTTTATATAATTATTTTTTGTGTATATATGTGTATGTGTGTGTGTGTGTGTGTGTGTGTGTGTACATGCGTGCGCACATACTTTATATATAGTTTATATTAATGTAAAGAAAGCTTACCAGAAGTCACGCGCGTAACTGTAAATGTACTTAAAGCATTGAAGTACCTTCTCCGCACTTTGATCTTGTTGTTGAACATCTTCTATAATTCCTATTTTGTCATGTAACTTTTTCCGATCAATATCAGTGATACACTTGAGACATTTCGTCTTGATTTCCTAAAAATATTAATTTATAAAGTTTACGCTTTTTGTTGATTATTTCACAGAATTACAATATACTGAGATGTATATAAAGTATTACCGTAATAGCATTGAACGATTGTACCATAAGATCATAATGCTTATCTTCATTTATTGCTTGTATTAGATCACTGCATTTTTCCAAAGTGTATTCTACATCTTGCAACTTTCTGCCACCAACTAAAAATAACGAAATCATCGGGATGAATTTAACTGAATTAAACAATTAATAAAAAAATAATTAACCAGATGAAAATAGCGAAAGTATTGAAATTAATATGAAGTTGCTAAATACAATATTTTATCACTTATAAATTACATATATCGACATATACCCGGTAGATGATCAAAGATTTCAAGTAATTCCCGCGTAGTGAGCTCAGCATATCGGTGGAAAGATTCGTTTATAGCAGCGATCCAATGTTTGATAATGCATTTTAATACAGTCACTATATTCCAAGGTGGTTTTATAATGACATAAGTCTCCCACTCTGGTCCATAAATTTCTGACATCTGTTTAACGACAATCTAAGAGAATATGACAATATTTATTAAATATCATTCTTTTACCATCATATCTATTAAATATGAATCCAAAGTATAATATATAATACTGTAGGCAACCATTGTTAAAGAAAAATAGAAGAATAAAAAATGTCAAAAATGTGGCCAAGTTTTTAGCTTTAGCTTAAAATTTTTCTCACTAAGAAAGGTATAATACTCACCGTTGAAAAAAGATCTTTCATAATCATTTTTGCATCCTCAAAAAATTTGTCTGAAAAATGTAATTCTTCGCTTAAGATAGAATGTTGAGCATTATTGCTCAAAGGATTCATTATTTTGTCACTTGTATTTAAATTATCCAATTTTGCAAGAGGATCATCTCGTCCTACTGTCATTATACGATGTATCATTGCTTTAGTGCAGAGATTTTTGTCATACGATAATAAAACCTACATTCAAAATAAAAGAACAACGTATTAAATGCCATCACATGTGTTAAATGCCATTATATATACAAATGATATCTTACTGCATCCTTCTTTAAATTTTTAATTTGCAAACAGCATTGAAGAATTTCATCATCTGGACAATCAATACAAAAGTTTTCTTTATTTGTTGCTGCTTGTTCCCGTGTTTGGCCTACGATACGTGGATGTTTAGAAGCAAAATGTTTATTAATAAATGATATGGCTTTCCTGGCTTTTGTACATAAAGTTTCGGATCTAGATTTATCATTTTTTAAGTAATCCAATTCCTGCAGATGTTATATAAATAATTTCATAAATATAGCATTAACTATTATAAATATTAAACTGTTTGTTATATTCATTAATTTATCATACTTACCCGTATGACAGTCCATGGAATTACAATAAAAGGACGCGGATAATTCTTGAAAGTAGCATCTCTTGCTTCTTCAATAATTTCGAGATTTGTCAGAAATACATTTGTATCAATAACAATGTATAATGGACCTTTTTCCTGTGATTCTAATGGTTGTGTTAGTACTGTAGTATTTTCTAATGAACAGTTAGATACATTCGCGCAATTTTTATTATTAAGTTGTGCTCTGATATCTTCAACCTGTATAAAAAAAACACGAAATATGGTAAACTTTTTTATAATTTAACAAGATTTATAGGATATATTTACAAAGTTACATATAGTTAATATATATTTAAAAATATCCATATTTATATATTTGATCTTTGATATTTGAACAACATGAGTTATTGCAACATTTTAATTATAATAATAATTACCTCTAATGTAATTTCTTCGTCTTTCATTGGTTCCCAATCCATTTCCTCATACAAGACTTCTTGATTTGCCTGTTCTACTAATTTTTCTTTAGTCATACTACTGACATCTACTTTATTGTTTTGTTGAATTTGTACCTCATTATTGTTTAACATACCTTTCCTCTCATACACTGTTTCCTTTAAAATTCTGTTATGTAATCTTTTAAGCCGAATGTCAGCATTTCTACGAATGCTTATTGATTCAATATTTTTATTATCTATAAGACACACAAAATATTTTTAAAAATACCTTTAAAATATTACTAGAAAGTATATAAATTATTTCAAAGCTATTACAAAAAATGTAAAATTTTATACTCACAGCTTGAAACAGGTAAACTCTTATTGAGTCTTTCCAAACGTATATCAGCGATTATAGAACAATCATCTTCACATTTTTGCATCTCATGATTTAAGCTGTTTCTTAATTTTTGCATACGATCTTGTGCTATATTTTTATTTGGCTGATTTCTTCGTTTTTGTTTAATATCATGCTTATTTTTTGTTTTTTTATCTACAACAAGTATACCTGAACGTTTTTGAATTTTTTCATGAATAGCACGCATTTGTGGTGTAAATGTTGTTTTATTTTCACCCGAAGGTGCTTTGTTGTTTCCTGAGAATGCTGGAGATGTACTTTGTGAAGGTAAAATTATAACACTATCATCTGTCCCTTCCAAACATGGTTTTTTTGATGATGAAACAATTGGCTTATTATTTTCAGTCTGTTCTAAAGATTTCTTTACAAATGTTGAAACTGAATTATGTTCTTGATTTTTGCCTGAAGATCTATTCCTGATAGCTGGTTTTTCCAATTTTCTTTGTGCTAACAGTTCTCGTAATGCCTTCATCGGTGGTGTATCATTTTTCTCTGCTACAAATACATTGTAAAAATATTATAAAGTACAAACATTTCAAAGATTTCACAAAGAATATAGTTTCATACTTACAGCGTGAAACAGGTAAACTTTTGTGAAGTTTTTCTGAATGTTTTTTAACAATTGTAGAACAATTATTTTTCTGTTTCTGCATCTCATGATTCAAACTTTTTCTTAATATTTGCATACGTTCTTGTGCCAAATTTCTGTTTCTCTGATTACTTCTAATCCCTTCTGTTTTCCCTACCATTTTAGAAGACTTTTTGTTACTTAATAATTGCTGTTTATGAGATCTCTTATTTTCAATAAAATCATGTTCAGGTGTTTTTGCTCTAGTACCTTCTTCTTTGTGGTGATGTTTACGTCGTTTGCTAATATGTTCTGAGGACTGTGCATTAAAGTTGTGTGCAAAAATGCACACAAAAAAATATATATACAATATGTACAAATAATAACGAATAGATAAAGAAATAATAAAAGAAACTAAAGTACCTTATCATTAGCTTGTTCCAACGTCGGTTCTCTCCACGAGGATTGATTTGTTTTTACATTAAAGTAATAGACCCTGTCTGGGTGACTCTTTGAATTGACAATGATCCAATTCTCTGGAAGTTTACACTTTTTCATGTTGTATATCAAATGAAAACACAGATTACAAATGAGGTTATTCACTTGGTGATCTCGAGACAATTTGTCAAGTAATACATATATAATATCAAAACATCAGTACAAATTAAATCTATACATTATGTAAGATAAATTTACACACGCGAAACTTTTCAAGGATATCAAACGGTGTAAGACATAAAAACACTTAATTTTAAGCACACAGTTAAACTCTTTTTTTTTCTTTTCTTAATGGCCGATATTCATAGGATCTGTTTTCTCTTGCTGAACTAGGGCTGCGTTCAGATTCCTTACCCGGGTGCACTCTAATGCAAGAAGTGCTATAGTATATGTGACATATACTATAGTGTTTTTAGTAACAGAGTGCACCCGGGTAGGGAATCTGAACGCACCCTAGGTTGCGTCCCGAAATTCACTGCCAGTACTGAAATTCTATAATATACGTAACATGAACTATAGATTTTTAGTACTAGCAGTGAATTTCGAAACGCAGCCCTAGTGTAGACTTTCGAAACTTAAGCTAGCGGCATACGATGCTTGTTTTCATGCTGGATTGCTTGCTGAATGGAAATACTCTGTTCTGATTGGTGCATTTCTGAAGATGGACCAATCAGAATCGAATATTTTCATCCAGCAAGCAATCCAGCATAAAAACAAGCATCGTGTGCCGCTAGCTTTATAGCGTATTCGACTGGCCCTGGGTTAATCGCTCAGAGAGCGATTAATGACGTCATAAGTCTCTACTAGCCAATCATAAAGCTTATAAGTACTTGTTTGACCAATAAACGTAGGCTGAATAACCCAGAGTGGATTAACCCAGAGCCAATCGAACATGCTTTTAAAAAGAGACAGATATACAGATAAAAATTGGTGGAAAAAAGATGAGAGGGTACAGCCAATTCAGCAATAGAAAACAGATCCATAGTCGGGTTTTATGGAGGATTTAAGGTCTTCAAACACAAATTGTCATAGCCATAACGTATGACGTACCGTAAGAATTGACCAATTACAATCGAGTATTCATCAAAATGGCGACCTTACGTTTCGACGATTTTTAACATAATTGTGAAATGTGTCCGATTTGTAACGTGTTTTTCGCGACGGAGAAAACGAAAAGACTGTTTATTATGGCAAGTCAGCGAATGTTTGAGAGGTATCATTGATATTTATTTATATATATCAATGATACATTTCAAACATTGTTCAAACATTGTTTCACTAATATATATAAGTAAATATCAGTGATACTTCTCAAACATTCGCTGACTTGTCATAATAAACAGTCTTTTCGCTTTCTCCGTCGCGAAAAACACGTTACAAACCGGACACATTTCATCACACTTAGCAAATTTTCGATGTCGATAAGTTAAAATGTTATCCGTTTTTGTTCCGTTCCGTAACAGTTCCGTGTCATGTGAAACCCATCTATCAAACAACGGAACGGAATGAAAATGGAATTATTCTGATTGGCTGACCCCCACCATATCTCATTTCCGTAACTGTTCTATTCCGCTATTTCTTTCTCCATCTGAACGCACCCTAATTGCTGATTGCTCACTGAGCGCTTTTTCCACTAAATGCGCCTATAGCTGCATTCCGAAATGTACTGCCAGTACTGAAAATCTATAGTTCATGTTACGTATATTATAGAATTTCAGTAGTGGCAGTGAATTTCGGAACGCAGCCTATAGCTTCTTCTGGTTTTGCAAATGGCGGTCGATGCAATGTGCTAGGTTATCGGAACTTGTCAAATCTTAGTCGTGTCGTCATCGCTAAATCATGACTTCGATCAGTGAGGTTGATGCAGTACCTAAATCGAAAAAACCATCGGGTAAGTATTCATAGAATTAATGTTAGACAAATATTAAATCAGAAAATACAGACTTAATATTGATATGCTTTTGTCTGAACTTTTTTGTATTTCCTTTCTGTATGACAATGTATGAACGATTAAATCTACCATGATGTTAATAGAATCGATAAATTAATGATACTAATTAATGAACTTGTGAAAATACAAGATTATGATAGAAAGAAAGTATATATACATAGAAACAACATTTGATTATGTGCAGACAGTGCATTCAAACAACAAAGATTACCAGCCTGGCAACCAATACTTACGGCTGGTACTGTTCTACCGACATTCTTTGTAATAGGAGTTGCATTTATACCAGTTGGTATAGGACTACTTTATTTCTCTGATGAAGTCAAAGAACATATTACAGATTATACCAATTGTAATTCTACCAATATTACTACTATTGATGGACAGCCTAGAACATGTGCAGATGTAATTGCAGAGAACCCCAACAAAGATTGCTTTTGTGAGGAAATTATTAAGTTACCTGTGGACTTTCGTGGAAAAGTTTACATGTATTATGGCCTAACAAACTTTTACCAGAATCATCGTAGATATGTCAAGTCTCGAGATGACAATCAGTTATTAGGTCAGTTGTCTCCACTTGTCTCCAGTGACTGTGAACCATTTGCCTATGAGGAAACAAACAAAACACCTATTGCTCCATGTGGAGCTATTGCAAACTCACTTTTCAGTGATGAGTTAACACTGCTTTCTGCAAGACATGATAATAAGAATGTACCATTATTAAGAACTGGTATAGCTTGGCCATCCGACAAGAATATCAAATTCAGAAATCCTCAGGGTAACTTGACAATAGCATTTAAAGATTTTGCCAAGCCTAAAAACTGGAGTAAACATATCTGGGAGTTAGATTCTGAAAATGAAGATAACAATGGATTCCAAAATGAGGACTTAATTGTATGGATGAGGACTGCTGCATTACCTACTTTCAGAAAACTCTACCGCAGAGTTGATCATACTCAAAATGGTTTTACTGAAGGTTTAGTTGCAGGAATCTATACCCTTAAAGTCAAATATTGTAAGTCAAAAATAATAAATGAAATATTTTTTTGTAAATATGTAATAAAAAAGAGAAAGAGAAAATAATTTAATAGTTGCTATTTTTTTTAGCATTTTCAGTATCAGCCTTCCATGGAACAAAGTCAATGATTTTAAGCACAACTTCACTATTGGGAGGAAAGAATCCTTTTCTTGGTATTGCTTACATTGTTGTGGGAAGTTTATGTTTATTGCTAGGCATAGCCTTATTGATTATACATATTAAATGTTCCAAGAGGTAATAACTATATTCATATATTATATATGTTTCTTGTTGACTCACATAAGAGAAACGTGTATATAAAAATATTCTGCCTAATAACAATGTTTGTGATAAAAAATAATTGGGGAAAACATCCAGTAGTCTACATTCCATCCCTTATCAGTACTTATCTTGTGCTGATATTATCAAATATTAAAGAATATGGAGATTTAAAAGGAAACAAACAAATAAATAATAATAATAATTAAAGTCTAAATACCTTGATATTTGATAAAATCCGAGCAAGAATGCCAAAAAATGATAAGTGCTGAGTACTGGACATTTTCTTCTGTCAATCAAATCATAGAATTAGTCATAAGCAAAGTATATGTTAATGTCTTTGTTCACAAATATACAGAATTTTATATACCTTGAAAATTCACCATCAAACGTAGCAAGCTTAAACATTCACATGTGATTTCTACAACAATGATCTCTTAAGTTAGATTAAGAGAGGAAGAGAGAGATATATATTTGATATCTCCTCATCAATTTTTATTACAACATTAATGGATAATATAATTTGATATATTTTATACAGCAAACTAATGTAAAGACGTCTACAAGAAAGTATTCTTAGGGCACCATATATGTTCTTGTAAGTGTTTGTGATATTGTGTTATGTCTACAATTGACAAATTACATTGCCTTGTGTATGAAATATGACTAATCGGTTAATATTATTTTTATAAATTATTATATATAGTATTATATTATTATATATAGTACCTAAAAATGTATACATTAAACAAATTGACAGGCATTAATATTAAGCAAAAAGAGATTGCTAATAATTAACTCGACTAGTCATATTTAATGTATTCTATAATTTGCTGGTATGTGTATATTTTTTTGTTATATTATGCATTTGATAGCTGTGTGTATGTCAGAAGAACTGAAATATTTTTTAAGGTATATAGTGATATATATAACTTTCTGTTTGAGAAGGAGATATTAAACTATCATAAATAATTTTTAACAGAATAACGTCGTTTATTCTATTAATTATTAATTATGTAATTATATGAAATAACTAAATAAATAGAAGAATTTTATGATGATATGATATTCATCAGAAAATATAAAAATCATCATAAAAATATAAAATAATATAAGCTATTTATCTAAATAAAATCTAAATCTAAATAATTTATCATATACTTATCTTAAGTTTTTTGCTTTTTATATTTAAGTGAATGTTACATTATAAATTGAATTGTTCAAAGTAAAAAAATACAAATATAATGAAACGCATGTAGCATGTTCTAAAGAGAAATATGTAAATATGCTATTATTTTAATTTATAAGTATTATTACATCTGAAAACATTTTGATTTTACTTATGCTTTTATATGATTGTTGAAATTCATTTTATTAGAGTCAAAGAGTTGTATAAATCTATATTTACGATTATTACATACATATCTTTTTTTTCTTTTAGCACCGCCGACATGATCAGTGTAACTCCAACTGTGGAATACCATTAGGATTGTGTGGTTCCTCTACTCAAAATACATATAATTTTAAATCATGGATAATTATTGGCTGTCATATATAGTTTCAAAGTATGTAAAGTTCTATTATCTATATTAATAACACTACTTTTCATTTATTTTGTTATAAACGAAAATACCGACAAAAATGGTAAAATAACTAAACAAATCAAAAATTTATTGAAAATCTAGTTAAGTTTAAAAAGTTTTTAGCCAAGTTTCAGTATTGTTATACACAGAGTGCCCTATATTAAGATATTCATAGCTGCATCATTCTGAGTTAAAAGTATAACACTAAACCAGATGAAGAAATTTGAGGCTGTCATATATAGTTTCAAAGTATGTAAAGTTCTATTGTCTAATAACATTACTTTTCATTTATTTGTTATAAACGAAAATACCGACAAAAATGGTAAAATAACTAAACAAATCAAAAATTTATTGAAAATCTAGTTAAGTTTAAAAAGTTTTTAGCCAAGTTTCAGTATTGTTATACACAGAGTGCCCTATATTAAGATATTCATAGCTGCATCATTCTGAGTTAAAAGTATAACACTAAACCAGATGAAGGAATTTGAGATATAATTGATAATCTGTCCACAATCACACAGTCAATAAGTGATTGATATATTGTGAACATCTTATCGCAGCATATGTATATTATATAATATTATATAGCATATATGATTTAACAAAATGAACGTCGGTATTAACAAATAATTATACAGTACTAAAACGAAATATTTATATCGAAATATTGAAATCGGAGCTTTTTTTCATTTATTTGTGGGCATTTTACTATAAAATATACTTTCGAGTTAAGAATAGATACTACAAAATATTTTTTAATGTATCTAATATTGACGTATTTTACATTACGTTGGTATAGAACCAATTCAACTTTTTAATTTCGGAGCTAAGATATAGAAGCGCATAGATGAAATATTTTATAAGCAATCGCGCGCGTGCACGCAATTGAATTCATGTTAAACGTTTTTTTATGATCACATGCAATACAACAGTTGTGAAATTATTTCGTAATCTCTTCCGTCGAGTTTCACTTACGTTACTTTTAACGCAACGATGCATTAATTATGTTCGACAGTATGATACCGATTGTTCGATTTTGATTATTCAGAAAAATACTTTCAGAATGTACAAGCAAAATTCTCTATAAACTGTTGTATATATTGTGAACATAATTATCATTACGGCCGTTATTCAAAAATTAATACTTGTTATGTAAAGTTATGATTGTACTTTCACATTCTACAAATTTATGTATACTACGCATTTGTAGTTTCTAGTTCCCTTCTTAAATGCTTCGAAAAATATGAGAGGGGAAAAATAGACGTATAGAATATTTTATCGTATTTCAAGAAATTGTTTTCGTTATAGAGAAACTATAGATTACGATGTATACGATTTCAGTGACGATTATCTCTTTATTTCGATAGAAAAAAAATTTTTTATTATTATTGGAATTGCTTCAGTATTACTAAAATTGGTTATTGATCAGATGATAAAATTTCAATATCATATATTACGCATACACAACAGTATGTATATATATATAGAAGTTTGCGAAAGTATTCAAACTATCCTTCGATCAAATAAAACTATTCGGCTACAGCCGTGAACCGCTATACATGTTTCTACATGTATTGTTCAGTGCAATTTAGATTTATCTACAGGAGTAACATTGCTGTCAGAATGTTGCTATTGCGACATTTTGAGTGCAATTTTGCTTTATTGTGCCTTAACTAAGAATTTTACTGTACTATCTGTAAACATTGTATATTATTACACAAAATGCAACTAAAGATTTAATTAAGAAATGTATGAGATGACTACATTTACTTCATAACGGTGAAGTCGCCGATAAGGTTAAATTGTAGTAAAACTTAATATTTATGAGATCAATCTAGTCGACTGTAAACGTAATTATGAATAAAATAATGTAAATAAGAAAATATATGAATAATTAAAATTGTCCTCTCTCACTATACGAAGTGCAGTCGTATAATTATTATTAACGTTTTAACTGTAGAAAGTTTAAAAAGGTATAGCTAAGAACAAAACTTATCCATTTTTATTCGATACATTTTACATGATACACAAACCCACAAATCTTTAAAAGACTTCTTAAAGAGTTCCCAAGTCCTACAGAATATTTTTGAAATTCTTTAAGAAATCTTTTAGCGATTTGTGCTATATGAAAGTGCTTCTGTGTGATCACAAGTTACTTATAAAAAATGTATGACATCTCAATGTACGCACGTTTTGAAAAACTTCGCTACGCAAATATTTGCAATTGTTGGACGAAAGAGAAGTGTGATTTGTGGCGAAAGATAAATATCGTAATTACGATGGCGGAGTTCTTTTTAGAACTTCTCGTGGGTGTATTTAAAAGCAATTAGAAAGCGACAAAATGTCGCTACGAAGCGCGCGCCGCACAATGCTCGTGCGCGAACGGCGCGGGCGCGATGGGCGGAACGGAGGGTCGGGAGAGGGAAGTATTTTCGAGCGCCATCTTGCCCCGTAAGAACTACTAATTCGTCAGTGCCTGTGAATGGACTTGTCATAAGTGTCTTATGTTATTTCGCCGCCCCGTTCTCTCCGATCGTTTCGAGAGTTCCGCGTTTTGAAATTTTTCGAGTGACACGTAAGGTGAGTACCAGAATGCCACGTTGTCGTAGCCGTACTTGTGTCTCGTTGTCTTCGTCGTTGTAGCCGTCATCGTAATCGTCATTGTAGTCACGGTCGTCGTCGTCATTGTGATCGCCGTCGTCTTCGTCGTCGTTCGTCCGCGTTACATAGACGCTACGAGATCGTGGTACTCGAGAGTCCCGGTGCGGTAACCGTGTCGTGCTGTGATCCGTGGAACGCGGACGTCTCACTCGCACACTTCGAACGCAAAAAGGGGCACCTGTGAGCGCTCCACGAGAACGTGTTCCGCGTTCGCGCCACCACCATCGCCAACGACGACGACGACGGTGACGGTGGTGATGGTCGTCGTCACGATGCGTTACATCGTAACACGGCCGTGCTTGTTCTCCTTTTCCGCCTCGCGATTTCCTCAAATTCAGCTTCGCAACAAAGAAGATATAGAGCGATATTCCGCGAAAGAAATTGACGTGTCACATATATATCTGTATTCGCGAAGATCCCTATCAGAGAGAGTCTGCTAAGTGCGTCTGTGCATTGTGTGTGTGTGTGTGCGCGCGCGCGCGTGACACGCTCGACTTTGTTGGTATAGTCACGTTTAGAGGATAATGATGCGCGCCACAGCAACGCGAGGTTGCTCTTTAAACGGGAATGCATCCATCCGTTTTTTGTTGCCTGCTGACGTTCGTCGAGTAAGTGCGTGCGCGCACACGCCCGGAGACTCGACGTACGTACTCGCCAGAGCGTTTACCGTGGTGATCTTTCGTGCGCGGCGGCCAGAAGAGTACGCGTAGCGGCGCATGGAGAGAATCAACCTCTGCATTTAATAGTAATTGTACAATAGTAATAATTTCCTGCTTGTTTCCTGCCCGTTCTGTCGACGCCTCTACCTTGCGCGCCGCGTAACGTCTCGTAGTATACGTTGCATCGTTCTCGATCATTCTCCGCGATGTAGCACATGTAGAGTTATGAGTTAGATTGAAGTTACTCGTTTCATTAGGCGGATAAAATTCAATGATAACGTAGCCATATCAGGATTTGATGATATTTATCAAGTATATCTTGAAATACCACTATTGTGTGATTACCTGAAACATTAATGGGCTGTTAGTCACGCACTGATTATCACGCCGAAAATTACTAGTTTCACCGTTCTCTACTGCAATTATCAAAATATAAATTGCTTGGTATTGTATTTAATATTTAATATTTATAAAAAAAAAAAGTGTGAGTGTCAAATTGCTTGGTCAAACAGAAAAGGGCAGACAGAACAATGATCAATACTTTCATGGTCAATTATATGTACAATGCTATTAGTATAACGGAAGGAAACCTTATAAAAGATCCTAAAGCTACTGCAATCTATATCTCTAGCAATAATTTATGCTTTTCACTCTGTGCAAACAGTCGTGAGCAGAGATATCTTGCACAGTCATGCACTCAGCAATGTAGAAACGTTGTCCTCGATGAGGAAAACATTCTGCGTAATGAAAACAAACACATTTCATACCTATCATGATTGTAAACTTGAAGTATCTTAAAATAATATTGTTACGTCGCATATATTGACATTAACTTGAAATTATTGTTGTTACAAGTTTCATATTGTTATCAGAAATATAGTGAAACATATTCATGTAAATTTTAATGTTCACAGCAGGTTCTTAGGGCCAAATAATGCTAATCAATATAAAAGTCGATCATTATCAGTTCCTTTTTTATGTATAGATTATCATTATACATGTTGATAACGGTGCTCCAAAGAATAACCATACCTATGCTAACTTATATGATAAGATAAGCAATGAACACAATAACGGAATTGTGTTACAGATAATAAAGTTCTCCTCTTTTTCCAGAAGAAGAGTGCAATTTGTTAGAGGAACGTGTACATCATTACTCCCATCAATGTAAGTGACTTCTTTCCACAAGTTGTCTGCATGTGTTCTCTCATCTGTAAATAGGGTAGCTTGATTATAGATTATTTTCTCTGTAGGTCGGAAATTTTTGAAAGGTTAATCCTAAGTTCACTTTATCGAGATTTTAGTATGTTGTTTCTGGAGAACTTTAAAGAGTAGAGAAACAACGAGTGTAAATTTAGTGCATATTTTATGCTTTTGAATTAAATGCAATATCATGGGTTTTTTTTTCTCGCATTATTAATCATTTATTGCCTAGCATGATTGTATAACAATTTGATTTTTAATAATCATAATTAACAACTCTTTCTTTATAAGAAGTAATAGTTATGATAAAAAATTCTTTGTAATTGTATTTGACTTTGAAAAAGCCAGATTAATCACTGTTTAATAGTCATCATCTCTTTTTAGAAGATATTCGTATAAAATCACATAAATAATAACATTTTGTAAATGCCATTGCAGCCAATGTGCACATTGTAGATTAATGTGTGGCTATATATGCATCTGAAATTCTCTTATATTTTCTTACATACAGTGAGATGTGTAAGCTATTAAAAATGATTCAGAGCAAGACATTAGTATATTTTTATATGTAAAAGTTATCTTTTTTATAATCTATTAACTGTGCTATCGTACATAACATACAAAAAAATTGAAATATATGAGCTGTGCCTATGAAAGACAAAATATAGTATCTTTTTGGTTTGTGCTCAATAACTATTACACACAATTACTACGAGTGTAATCTATTGTTTATGAAATAACTATGCTAACAATTCATAAATATTTCAGATAAAAATATGCATTCTTACATTCCCTTTTTCATATATCTATAGTTGTATAGGATTTGTTTGAGAATTGGGTGACTATAAAATTTCATGTAATATTTATTTGCATAATATCAGTTTAACGAATTAAGGCGTCATTATCATCCACACGTAAACGATGTATCGCGCATTAGGGTGTGACGAGATGTATATGAAATTTCTCATTACTTACCTATTGTATCATCTGATAGTCTAGGCTTTTGTTGTGATTCGGAGTATTCTATATTTCCGGGCAAGACCTAGCTTCGTCAACAACGCCAGCGATATTTCATTAGTCAAGAATGGCAATGCAGAAGGTAAATTTCACTGACACATTCACATTTGTTGAATTAACAAAATGTGCTTACTTGATAACATAATATTTGATGTTAAAGCATACTCTTATATAGAATAATTTCTGTGTTTCAGTAAACAATATTTATCACTCTGTAAAAATAATTTTCACAAGAACTTATCGTTACATTATTTTCTATATGTCACCTACATTCAAGTTATTTTAATTTTCTAGTTTTTGTTATGATGCACCTTTCTTAATTTGTAACATGTAAAAAAAAACGAAAGAATATAACGATAGGCAGACAGGTGAAACTGATAATGACAAATATGCATTATGCAAGTCAGTATTGCATCACAGAAGTATTGTTACATATTATTAAATGTTATTTAGGCCCGATTTTCTTTGGATTTTTCCGCTATGCTCCATATAGCTTTGCGAATAATACATATCTCAAGCACGATATGATAACGACAATATTGATTATGAATTTATATAGGCACATCTCAAGAAGGCAGCTGTTCCCATAAAATATCTTTTCCTTCTTTTGATCTCAAACTCGATAATTTATATGAAGCACGTGAAAATATATTATAAATACGTATCTAATTGAAAATTTTATCTAATCAATTGTACGCTCTAAAATAGATTTCTTAAAGTAGAATTATGATATATAATTAGAAATATACTTTGTATATATCTTGTTTTATTTGCTTGCTTTGGTGGTATGGGAAAGTTTTTTTTTTTTATTTCTTGGAGAAGTTGCCAACATATATGATAATTGATTATTCATGCACACAATAGAGAAATATTTCATAGTTATAATATATATAATCAATACATTTTTATAAAGAGTAATGATTATACAAACATAGTATATTAATGTATACACAATCATGTTTATCAATTAAAACTTTTAATATATTATACATACATAATAATCTCTTGTTGCAAATTATATATATTATTTCTTTTTACTTTCTATTTATTTATTACAAATAATTTGATTAATATGCATGCCTTGGCTTTAACACTCAACGTCCTGCTGTTAATTGATTAATTAATTAATATATACATACAATATGGTATTCTATACAATGAAATTTAGTGCTAATATTATTTAATAATTGTAGTGTTTAAATAGCGCATACTTAGTTGCATGGCTTTGATATAAACAAAATACTTATATTTATTATCCGACATTATTTACATCATACTTGATTTATGCTATTATTGTTATAATAGTTTTTTGTATATTATAAATAGACTTTCTCTAAAAGTTAGTTATGATATTCTTTGTTTCACAAGTCTGTCAGAAAGCTCAAGCATTAAGGATTTTCAAAAGATTCAGAGAAAATATTTTAAAAGATTTTTTATAAATTATTAATATTGTAAATATTACTGTACGCATGCAACAAATATACAAAATAATTTTAGACTTTTGTACTTGCAATTGGAATTAATGCGATAATAAATATGGGTTCGTAAAGTCAAGGTACGTAATACTACAATAGAGTAACATATAGCGATAATATTTTAGATGAGAAGACAGGGCCAAGACGTCATGCAGGTGAATCTAGCAGGTATTAGGCGAGATATAATGAATCTTGCCCACAATTACAGCAATGCTCAGGTAATTAGTAAAGTCTTCTCAGTTATTTTGTATTACTATTTTACAATGTCATATTTCATTATTTGCATGTGTTAATTTTCTGTTTGTTTAATGATGTAATTTAAATTTAAAAAAAATCGAAATTAAATACTATCTATACTAATAAAATATTAATAAATATTCAAGAAACTAATAATCATTATTCCTTTCTATATATAGAAAGCTGTACGAAAAGCTACCAGCAATGATCCCTGGGGTCCAAGTAGTACACTTATGGCGGAAATTGCTGACTTAACGTATAACGTTGTAGCATTTACGGAAATTATGCAAATGCTATGGAAGAGATTAAACGATCATGGGAAAAATTGGCGACACGTATACAAAGCCCTAGTTCTCTTAGAATACCTTATTAAGACAGGATCTGAAAAGGTAGCACAACAGTGCAAGGAAAATATTTTTGCCATCCAAACCTTGAAAGGTAAGCAGCTTCTAATATATATTGAGTCTAGAATTCAGTATTTTGTTTATTTTATATCATTAAAGTATTAAAAGCTTTAAATTGCGCACTGGGAAATTAATAGTGGAATAGTATAGGAATAAAATAATTACAATATGTTTATAATTAATCGACAAATTAAGTTCCAATTATTCTTTAGACTTTCAATACATGGATGGACATAAAGATCAAGGAATTAACGTACGAGAAAAAGCAAAACAATTAGTGGCCTTATTAAAAGATGACGAAAGATTGAGAAATGAGCGTGCTAGAGCTTTAAAAGCAAAAGAAAGATTTGCGCAGTCAGTCAGTGGTTTTGGAAGTGATGGTTTGGATACCATGTCGCCTGTTAGCAGTGACGTAAGTATTATATATCATTAATGTTGGTTCAAAGCTATAAGTTACAATTACATATAAATTATTATTTTGTCAGTTTCAGGATTGGGAGCCTTGCCACTTATCCGAACCAACGTCTAGACGTGCGAGTAAGTTGACCCAGATTCTGTTATCTCATGTCTTTTATACTTTTCGCATATATCAAACATTGATTCATCTAAAAATTAACACGAAAAATGTATCTCCAGCGGAACTTGAAGCCGCAAGACCGCAAACAGTAGGCGAGGAAGAATTACAACTACAATTGGCTTTAGCTATGTCAAGGGAGGAGGCGGAACAAGAGGAACAAAGAAGACGCAGCGATGATGTTAGATTGCAATTAGCTCTTAGTCAAAGTCAACAAGATTTCAAGTAAGTAATCAGCGGAATTCAATGCGATCTAGTAACTCGATAATTAGAAGTACCCGATCTTGCATTTACGAGTCGATGTAACGTGTCTGTATTTTAGAGCTCCACAACCTGAGAAACAAAGTCACATGCTCGATTTACTGGACGTAGCTTTGGGAGAAGCGAGTGGCCCTTCCGTACAGACCGATCCCTGGGGTATTCCGATAACGGCAGCGCCACCAAGACCGCAGGTACTTATTTTGTCAATTTATTATTAAAAATTAAGCAATCGCATTTTGCATGATAACACGAGATTGTGTTGTTTTTGCATGATTTATCAGTCTTTGGATTTAACTGAATATCATAAATGTAAGGTACGTTCGATGAGTGTTTAGGCTTTTGTCATTTGAAAGAATGTACAGAAATTAAGATAATATCTTCATAGAATGATTAACGGGATAATTGACAATAATGTTCTTATTCTACAGGCGCAGAATGACCCATGGAGTGTTCCAACAACGAGTAGCGCATCACCCGTAGTAGATCCGTGGACGCCCGTCCCTCCACAACGACCAAGTGAGTTTCGTTATCGTAGCAAAATATCTCTTACATGCTTGTACTTCTGCTTAGTTCCTACTTTTATATTTTTTTTGCATGTGTGTCGCTTGAAATTATTTTGGGACGTATCCATCAGGATCCTCAGGTATAAACTAAAATTAATTTTTTCTCTATATTTTGTGACACACGTATTAAAAATTGGAAAGATAGCTGTCGTTATTATAATTTAAGACATTAAATTATAATTAAATTAAATTATAATTAGACTACAACTGTCACCGATTCTTAACGAGGTCACTCGATAGCGTTGTCACAGAGATAGCGTTGTGGTGACTACTTATCTTTAAAATGATTTTTATTTCCTTGTTAAAATTTGCTCATTTTAAAAATTTTCAAATAGCTTAATATATGATATCCGATGAATAACGATGCGTTGAATTGATCAGGCTCAAATTACTTCTCAATTACAGCAGCCACTATCGATCCGTGGCGTGCACCTGCTCCATCGCCTGCTACAGTGGTGTCTCCTCGTACAACAGATCCCTGGTCACCGGTTCCAAACACTACTGAATCGGAGGCGAACAAGTTGCAGGTGATATAGATTTATTTTTTAATGTTACGTGTGAATTCCGAAAAATTCGTTAGGGATACGTTGATCTGAAGCTTTCGTCTTTGTAGCCGGCCCAAGATGGTATGACATCTCCATCGCCAGCCTTCAATAATTCAACGTTGACGCAGAACATCGGTTTCGCGGCGCAGTCACCTCAGAATATAGGTTTTAACTTGCCGGTATCTTCGGCCACAACTAGCTTCAATACTACTAGCAACGGTTTCAATGGGACGGGGCTGGGTTTCAACTTTTCCACTCCGAACAACAGCAATACCGCCGCGACGAGTCCACTTAGTGATTTAGATGAATTCGATGTAATTACTAATAGGGGAAAACTTGGAGCCAGTCCACAAACGGTGAACAATGGTATACTTGAGTCATATTAAACATACTTTTCTAACAATATATTAATTCATCTAAATTATATGAGAGTGTAATTTAAAAATAGACGGTGCAGCATCGTCGGGAGATCCTTTCGACTTAGGAGGCATGGCTGAAAATCTTCCTGCTAGCACTGGCGCAGTGAAGAAAACGCCACAGTCCTTCTTAGGAGAGAACTCTGCGCTCGTCAATCTGGATAATCTTGTCAGCGCTTCGGCGATCAAGCCTGCAGCTCCCACGCCTGCAGGTAAAAATTCTCATTTTCAATTAAAATATTAATATCGAGAAAGAGAAGTCCAGTATTCAGAGTATCTCAAGTTCACGTGTCGAGAAAGCTTGTAGCTCTTCTCAAATATTACAATTCTTCAAAGTTAAAATATTTTTTATTGAGATCCATATCCATCAAAGAATATATCCGAAATCACTGGAAAAAAGTTCTATTTTATACTGTGATTTATTCTATGTCCGCACACAAAATAGCGTTTCATTGGAAATAAGTTCGTGAGTATACGACGAAATAATTAAGAGTATGGCATGAATGCATGACTTCAATTACTATATGCAATATGATTACTATGCTTGTTATATAATGATGTACTTCGTATGTTATTTCAATAAGTTATATTTTGCAGCTAAGAGTACTGTGATTTTAATCTTTCTTCGAATATACATCTTGTATAATATTGTAGTGTGTAATACATAAAATATTCCTTTTTCTTAAATAGATAATAAAAATATAAAATAGGTAATCTTTGTAGATATCCTTTATGCGCAATCATATTTTTCTATCTTATATTTATTTGTCTGTTTACATAGAATGAATAAGCAATGTAAAATTCTATTTTTATATTAAGCATCCATAGGAATTGAAAACTAACTCGTCAATATCTTAAAATAGGAAAGACAAACTTTATCGTTTGAAAGCAAAAGACGGAAAACTTTATAAAAATATAAAATGTTTACATTTTTCACTTTCAACTTTTAGAATGGCGGCGTTTTCATTTAAACTATTAATATAAATCGTGAATTTTTATGTCAGACTTTGTCTTATATCAGAAGATGAATGACTTAACTGTTTCCGCAAACAACAAAAACTATTTTGTGCTAATGAATATATAAATAAATTTACAGCAACCATGTCGTATTCAGCAAATCCATTTGCAACTGTGACGCCACCACCCCGTCCTACAATCAATCAGATTCGACAGGATCCATGGACAGCTTCTACAGCTAATCCGTTCCTCTCGTAGCCTGATCAATCGAAAAGCTTCAATAGTGATCTACGAGACGTTTGCGGTTCCACATGTAACCCTGTACGGTATAGATTTTGGTTAAAATACGATTTAATTGTGACAATTATGGGTGAAAGAAAGATAAACGAAGAACGATCGATTCGGGACAAAATATTCCTATCAACGGATATTTCGCTGATAGTTGGAATTATTAAAGCATTATTTTTCGACGAATTATATTGCAACACATTTATAATCGTTGTACAAGTTTCTTCTTTGTTTTGCATGTACTACTGGCTTCGTAAAGTTTATTCCGAATTAATCTTGAACAACTAATTAGTAGAAGTGTGACATATGTGTAATTAAGTGATGGGTGGTTAAAGGTACAACACACACACACATACGCACGCATATACTCACATATACACACATACACACACATAAATCATGTTTTAACGTTGAACGCTTACGCGATCCCAAGGTACGACTAGATTTTATACACACTCCCTTCTCTATATAGTATCTATTTTCTATGTATGAACCGATTCAGGGAAAGATTGCTCAGCGGTATCTTCGCTGAGGGAGAAGATAAAATAACGCTGGAGTTGAGATCAGTTTATGTGTTTCACATTTGTACACGCGTTTTCTATAGCGAAACTGATGAGACCGTGAGACTGTAATCGTGATTTGCAAAAAAAAAAAAAAACGAAATCTATTATATCGAACAGGGTTCCGTTCGCGTTATACGCTTACAATACGTGTCGATTATGGTCCGTAAAATTCATGTCGTGGCTTGCTTTCTAATAATAAGTGATCGTGATACGAGCAGCTGCCGTGTTGCATAAAAGTGTGCGCGAATTTCTTACATAGTTGTACACAGCCAGTCATTCACGAATGACGTACTGCGACCTATGATACACCAAGGCACCTTTAAATGAATATGCAACTGTGAAAGTAGCATTCACGCCTGACAACGTTACGAGCTAGGGAACTAATTCGTATTATTTTTAATAATATGAGAATCTCGGTTTCAATCGACCGCGAGCACGCGAGTTCCATGCGAATTTTTGGCGTAGATGAAAAATCAAACTTCACAGCGATAGGAACCGTCTCTTGTACTCGAGAGAATCATCGATATTTAGATTAAAATAACAGTGGGTAATTTCTAATCTACGTTTACTTTCAATTCAACATTTGTGTCGGCTTTCGAAATTATTTGCAAGTCAGACCGCTTGCACGGTTATAGCAAAGTTATACGACATTTTTGCTTATTTGCTATCATATTTTTCAAATTTGCATGACACGAAATTTCGAATCAGATTACTTTATGTACGAGAAAAATATCGTAATTGTGTATCTTGATTTAAAATAAGAAATGTAAATATAATACAGCATATATCGTTCCCCATTTGTCGAATGTTTTTAGTGTTCTTAATAACGGATACACACACACACACACACACATATATTATATATACATAGGAAATTTTTAATAACATTTAAAAGCTGTACTCGACATCATTATCACTGTCGTGATGTGCGTTTGCAGAAAAATTTGCTGAGCTGTTCTTTTATTGAGTGCACTCTTTGTAGCCATGTCGCTGGTACTTGAAATTGCAGGGTGATATTATTTGTCTCGTGACGTTTTACTGTATAGATCAAACACAATTGAAACGTTCCCAAAGAAAATCTTCGCACCCTCACGTGACCTCAGCATCTTTTTCTTCGAAATAACGGCGCATTTTGCAGTTTTATACAAAGAAAGCTTTTTCACTATACAGCATCGACAAAGGGGAACTGTATTCGCCTATCTATTCAAGTAAATCAGCAGTTGCACGATTTAAGCTGTTCCAAGTAAACGTCGAGCAAATAATTCCAATGTATTATTTATCGTTAAATCGATCATTTCTGTTGGCTTTATGCAGTTTTAACACATACTTGCTTATATGAGTGAAACTGTATATTTAAAATATGTATTTATCCAGATGTTCGCTAAGATATGAAGTCAAAATGCATGACACGCATCGCGTACGATCGCTCTGCGTAAAAATTAAATTGTACAATTATATCTAGTAATTTTTATCAAGAATATGACTATATTAATTATTATGCCTGTTGAATTATATATTGATGGGCATCCTATATCTCGATTTTATATACCTATATTTTTTTACTAACTTGGTTTATTTATCTAACGAATCTATGGATCATGATATAACACAGCTTCATCTCTGTGCGAACAGTGGAATATTTTTGTTTAGCTTTTAGAGCAAATGTAATTTGCAGAAAAATTCAAAGAACATTTATGAGAATAAATATTATATATTTTAGTAGATTATATGAAATACTTATTAATATTATATAAATAAATGTAAAAAATTTTTAAGTTTTCTCATTAAATATTTAATTTAAAATTCCTTTGGTTATTTTCTTTTCAGAAAAGGTGTACATATGAATTTAATTAGGTTTAAAAAAACTGAAATTTACATATTTAAACAACTGAAATTGTTCTGTAAAAAGCTGAAGGAATATTACAAAACTTTTATTGTTTCTTTAATAAAAAGAAAGATGTTCACATCTACATTTTCATAAATACCCTTGGTAGAAATACTAAATCTTTTATGTATAACATTAACATAATAAATGATCAATTATTGCAATTTAATTTATTAAAGAAAGTATTAAAAGATAAATATAATATATAAAATACATTATTTATTTTCATAATACATACATGTTAATTTTCTGAAATTATATAAGTTATCCTTACATGCTTAAGTCAGTCTTAAAATAAAAATTGTATATATAAGTATAATATGAACTCTACAACATTATATATGTAAATTTGTATTTTAAGGAAATTCATTTGTAGAATTTATCAAAACTGGTGATAGAAAATATGAACGAACCTGATTATGTAATTGTGCTACTTCAGGATCTTCTTTCTCAAAAGCTCTAATAATCTCTGCAAACCGTACAGCCCCTGTTTGAACATATATATAATTAATTTTTACTTGATTGAACATATATAGAATTTTTACTTGTTTTTGATACATTTTTAAAATTACATACCTTCTCTTCCTTCTGGAAACCCATAATTTTTAATAACATCAATTTGAATCTCTATTACTAATGGAAATACAAACTGCATTTTCTTTAACATCTCATTACCAGATTTTTCATTTGCTTCTGCAAGCTTCTCTAAATTCTCTGGTGTATTCAGTGCTGTCAAAACATCTGCCAGTATAGCTGAAAATAAAACAAGAAAAAATTTGTTCGTATTACCATTAACAATAAAGATATAGTATATCATTTATAACAATAATCAATTTATATATCATTTTTATCTTATTTTTAGAAAATTGTCAGTACCTTTTGCAGTTTCAACTGTAATAGTATGAAGAGCAGTTGCCATGGTACAGGTATTTTTTATTCCTCAAAAACTATTATAGAGATTGTCCACAAAGTGAAAATTTGGACATTAAATATATATTTCACCTAAAAATACTTGGCCTAGTCTTGAGATCACTTGAAGTCGCTCAGCCACAGATCTTTCTTGATTCAATCAATTTAACTATACATAGACTGACAATTACAACTGTTCTTCTTTCAAATAAAATATCATATGCAGTTTAATCCGATTCAGTTGCAGCAGGTTATTACTTCTTCTTAGATACTGTGATTACTGTATTTTGATTAGTTTGTAATTGATATTTGTTTAATAGATGACAGCTGTTATTGTATCCATCCATCCATCTTTATTTGGCCCCGGATATCTCCATTGGCCGCGTTCAGTAGAACAAGTGATCAGTAAGCGCTCAGGGAGCTCTTGTATATGATTTGGCATATTCTTTTAGATCTCCAACTATACTCCGTCTAGTTATTCCGTTGGAACTGACCAATCGCATTTGTCGTTTAACAAGATTAACCAATCACCGTGCACATTTAACCAGTAGTTAAAGTAACCGGAGATGGTGAAAATGGCCGCTAGAGAGCTGTTATTGTAGGGCCCATCATTGCAATGTTCGTTTCATGGACGTAATGGCTGCGTTCAGCAGAAAAAGCTGCTTTTCAACTGTTGTAAAATTCGTTAATGTGATTGGAGTATGCTCTTAATTTCGGTTAAATCCAAGAGCATATACCAATCAGATTCACGAATTTTACAACAGTTGCAAAGCAGCTTTCTCTGGGCTGCGTTCAGAAACCCTACTCCATGAGTAGAGTAACATGTAATTAGCCAATCAGAGCAAAAGGAACTAAGATTTATTTATTATGATTGGTTTATTAAAGTAACCCTACCCATCGAGTAAGATTTCTGAACATAGCTCTGCTGAACGCAACCAATGGGCGCATTCAGTAGAAAAAGCGCTCAGTGAGCAATCAACGATTATTGGTTCTTGCTATTAGATCCCTAAATCTAGACCAATTACATTGACAAATTACTCAACTGTTGTGCAACTGTTGAGTCTGCTGAATGCAGCCAATGGCTCCTGCTCACAGGACGCGGCAACGCTTGCCGCGCGGCGGAAGTTCGCGCAACAGCCAATCAATATGTTGTTGTTCGTGAGAGCTACATGGTTATTACAGAAAGCAGCATATTGATTGGCTGTCGCACGAACTTCCGCCGCGCGGAAAGTATTGCCGCGTCCTGTGGACAGGAGCCATAATGCTTGCCGCGCGGCGGATGTTCGCGCGACAGCTAATCAATATGCTGCTTTCCGTAATAATCTTCTAGCTCTTACGGAAAAACAACATATTGATTGGCTATCGCGCGGACTTCCGCTGCGCGGCAAGCATTACCGCGTCGTGTGTGCAAGAGCCATTAAACCGGTTCAGTAATTATCGTAGTTAGTAAACTCTTGAATACGATTGGAATATATTTCTAAATCTAAAAGAATAGACCAATCGGATGTGAGAGTTTACTAAATACGGTTGTTACTAAACCGGTTTTAAGCTGCCGTGTAAACTTAGTCAATGGCCTGGTTTACATCGTGCACTTGATACGCGTACTATATAGTAATTTTCTATTAAATAATCTTATGGCTCCTGCATATAGGACGCAATAATGCTTGCCGCGCGGCGGAAGTTCGCGCGACAGCCAATCAATATGCTGCTTTTTGTAATAACCTTTTAGCTCTTACGAAAAAACAACATATTGACTGGCTATCGCGCGGACTTCTGCCGCGCGGCAAGCATTACCGCATCCTGTGTGCAGGAGCCATATCTCTACTCGATTTATCGGGCAGCATTGAGTTGTCATGAATCATGAAAATACTAGATGCTTGTGACTATCATATTTTTCAGCCCTAGTGAAACTAACTCGTACTAACTCCAACTCGAATTATCGTAAACACCCATTATTGAGTACTGTAGACTGTTAGCGAATTCGGTTGCTTGCACTAGTGTGCATGAGTGCGCACTAAGGCTTGTTCATAGTATGTTATTATATTTAAAGATTGTCTTAAATAATTCTCAAATAAATTCTCAAATATTTTTAACCATATGATATGTATAATATCCGTACGAATCATTTTATTAGTTAAAATGTTTTTAAATATGTATTTAAGATACGATCTTAAATATAAGAATGTATTGTAAACAAGCCTTAATGCGCACTCAGTGCGCACTAGTGCAA